GGCTGTTGAGGGCTAGGTTCTGCTCTTGACCAAACAACGCGGGGTTGCCATCAAAGCTCTTGAGGTCACGCTTCTTAAGAATGCCAAGCAGGTGGGTAAACCAATCTTTTGCTCCTGCTCGCTGGCCTGGTAAGTTGTAGCACAGTTCGAGGTCTCCAAGGTGGGTCTGAATGTACGTTGGCCTTCTCTGTCGAACTTGCAAGTAAGCATCGGTGATGTCCAATGACACCAGCTCCAGGGAGTCGTTCCCTGCAGCAAGGCACGCCAAAAGTTTATGGCTTGAAGCCACCGAAGCGGGGCTGTACAGATCCGTCAACGACGGCTCCAAGAATCTGTACTCTTTGGCAACCAAACGAGCCCGCCGAACCCAACCACCTCGAAACCGCCAATCTAGAACGTACTTGCACTGCAAACGTACTTTGTCATCTCTCTCATGCTCACCAGTCATGTGCCGCAGTACGTTCATGCCAAGGAGGCGGTCGAGCTCCTTCAGCTCCATCTGCTTGTCGAGCTCCTGTAGCACCTGGGCTTCGAGCTCAGGTGGTCCTTGAGCATACGTTCTGCCTTCCCACGGCATTCCTGCATCACCCTTCTCCGGCTCAGAGCTTTCAGGGGCTTCTTCTTCACTTTCAAAGTCATCTTGACCTTGTGGTTCCAAGCTTTCTTCGGGCTCACAAACGACATCATCATCCTCATGCCCGTGGGGCTGATCGTCTCTGATAACTCTCACCGGAAAGCATTCCACTCTACTCACATCCATGGCTGCTGGAATCAACTCATCTGAGCCCGAACCACTAAGACCGTCTAAGATGCTTTCTCCAGGGCTCTCAGCAATGGAAGTGGGAGGATCTGTACCAGCTTCGTCTCCGGCCCCAGGGCCGGATGCTGCAGGTACATCCGGCGCTGCTTCCACGAGCTCGGGAACTCTAAGTCGGGGGGCTCGCGGAACACGCATGGTCACAACATCTAGGACCGGATCCCAAGGAACGCCTCGCATGGCTACCAAAGCATCTGCTTGATAGGCTTCAGCTGCTCTTCGAACTGTTCGTGCGTAGCCTATGCCTTTGCTTGTGGACACAATGCTCAACGAACCCATTATTGAGCGGCCAAGGTATATGCACTTCTCCCACGGGATTCCTTTGGTCTTGGGCTTGGGAAGCATCTGGCTGAAAACCACCGACCCAAAAGCTGCTATCTTCGCATCGTACTTCCGACCATGGACAAGCTCATACGAACTCACGCCATCACTGTGCACATGGTACCGCGTGAGAAGAAACGCGGCATGCCTAAAGGCCCACGGGTAGATTGGGTGGCTTGACTTGATGACATACTTCGAATTGGCAGCAACGGTGTGTAAAAGACATAGACCAAGACGACGAACTTTATCGATGTACCGCTCAGCTCTCACGCCTTGATGCTCTGAAGAATCTGGGTGTGCCCTTTCAACCTCTGTTTCCAACCCTAAGCGAGTCCTTGCCATCTGCACCATTTGGAGCAACTTCAGCATTGATGGTTCTGTGTCTCCCCTGAACGTCACCTTTGCATAGCCAAGGATCGATGCCATCTTGACAAGCTCCTCCACAGCAGGTTTGTTGTCCTCGGCTGCTTTCGAACGAACAGGGACACAGACCACGTACTTCGTAGAGTGGCAGACTGCAACAAGTTGGGTAGTCAAGGGGTGCTCTTCATCTTCGGCATCACCAGTTCTGTTAAACATCCAATCTACTGAAATGACCGGCACCTCTCTCTTCGGCTGCACTTCTCTGTGCGGATCTTCACGTGAAAGCGCAGCTTGACAACTCTCACACCAGTCAGCTCTAGGCAGATGCGTAAGTTCATGAAGCATGACCGTTTGCGCGTCCGGCCGCTGAGGAAGAGGACCGTGATTCACATCGGGAGTGTACTCTGCTATGACTGCATCACTCGCCTGCACTGCGACCTTCAACTTGTTCAAGGCAACCTCTTTCTGCAAGCGTGTCCACAAAACATGTTTTGCACCAGTATGAGGAATGCGCAGGTACTTGCACGCCCAACGCAAATCACGCAAACTCGAAGTCTCTCTGACCTCCTTATCCCCAAGCTTCACAACTTCACCTTCAAGCGGAATCTCTTGCATCTCCGGCCCAACTCGCGCGCCTTGCTGTGGATCACCAGGAGTACCATCCACCACAGCTTCAGGTTGCGGGACTTCACGCCCCGGCGCATCTTGGAACCTGGGAACAACGCCAACTCTCTCTTCCACGGGCTTTCCTAGATCTGCAGGTTCCAATGGGCCACGGGTCAACAACGTCACGATCTTAGTGGGCTCGCATCCTATGTCCATTGGAGGCTTCAGCTCCCAAAACTCACCGCACTCAAAGATCTCAAAACGATTGCCCCCTTTGTGCACCAACGTAGTACGATGTGGGAGGACTGCAGGATCATAAAGAGAACTGGGGTCCACTGTCATGTTCGAGCTCATCTGCACGTGTGTTGGGGTGGACCCTTCCGTGACTTGCCAGCCTGCCCGCTTCAACTCAGCGAGGTTGTTGCTGACTTCGATCACAGCCCTAATGCAAACCTCCTCAGTTCTCATGATGCGCATGCTGCAGGCAATAGAGTTTCGTGAAAAGTAGATCGGGAACTCCTGATCACCCTTGCACATCACCAACGACCCATCTTCATCTGAACTCGGTCTTGGATACCAGCCACCACGAAACAACTTCCCGGCACATAAGAGAGGCTGCTTCACTCTTGCCAAGACTGCACGGTCTCTAAAAATAAACTCTTGCCCATCTCGACTCTCTACAATGAACGACACATTGGCACGCTGTGCGAACTGCGGGATCGGCGTGCCTTGAGCGTCCAACAGCTGTGCGGTCTGTTCCTCGGGGATTCCCACGGACCCGAAGAGGTGCGCGGGAAGCACAGTGATGTCGGCACCTGAGTCCAGGATCACTTCGCAGGGCTCAACTAGGTTTGTTCCAGTTGTCACTGCACGCACTTCACGCTCAGCTCGGACAAACTCATCCCCACTGTCATCACGATCAAGCTCAAAACACAAAGTGCTTGAAGAAGGAAGCTCGCACTCGCTGAAGTCAACTACGGGCTCGCACACAAACTCTCCATTCAGCTCGCTCTTCTCTCCACTGCACCACGCATCACTCACACGAACTGCACGAATATACTCATAAGCGTCGGCAGGAACTTCAGCATAGTCCCACCAATCCTCTTCTTCACCCCAAGCTTCTTCATCCCAAGCTTCGGTGCCCTCGTAAAATCCGAACTCCGAAACAGATCTAGTGCCAAGGCAAGCCCCGAAGGTGTCGTCGAGGTCATCCGGGAGCTCCTCGATCAGCGGCATGCTGTTCAACTCGAGGCGATTCACCTTGGCTGCTGTTGAGGTTGGGGCTGTTGTTGCTGTTGCGGCTGTTCGAGTAGTCGAGGAAGAGGCCCTAGTGCCCACAGACGCAGAGTCATCTTCTACTTGGTTCACACGTTGACCTCTGCACTCAGCTGCTCGATGACCCATGCGACCACAAAGAAAGCAAGGTCCCTTCACAAAACCACCCTTCTTGCCCTTCTTGCCGCCGTCTTGAAACCACTTGCCCTTGCCTTTGCCTTTGTCCTGCTGACCTTTTCCGAAGCCACCGAAGCCACCGAAGGAATACCCCTTGCCATTCTTGCCCTTCTTGCCGCCGTCCTGGAACCACTTGCCTTTGCCTTTGCCTTTGTCCTGCTGACCCTTGCCTTTTCCCTTGAACTCCTTCCCTTTGCCCTTGCCCTCGACGCGGTCCACGTCCATCGGCACGGGGTTGTTTCCATCTCCTGGGTAGGAGTTCTTCTCAAGGCCTATGGCTTTCATTATGTATTCGTTGCTCCAGGTAGCCGATGTGCGCTCAAACTGCAAGAGGATCCCCCGGAGTTTCTGGTAAGTGGTTGTGTCATCTATCTGTAGCTGTAAGAAACGCTTCACATCCTGGGGCAAGCCACTAAGAAGAGTACTTATTTTGAGGTCGTCGGGATAGACTTGGGAGGAAGCCCGCTCATACTCCGAGATCAATTTCTCGAACGTTAAGGTGTACTCCAGCACTGAGCCACCATCTCGTAGAGGAGGAAACTTTGTGAGGGCCTGGGCTAGCGCCAAAGTTCTGGGACGCGTGGTAGGCTGCAACTCTTCCGTGAGCTGCCTCCACACCCTAAACCCATCACCATTAGTTGTTGCCCGAAGGATTTTCAAAGCACGGCCCTTTAAATACGAAGCAAGCACCGAGTACAATCTCAAAGAACGTGCCCTCAAAGCCGGACTGTAGTGCTCGAAGGAGACCCATGCTGTGGCTTTCTCAGCCTTTTCAAAGTCACCTCTGTACTCATCATCTTGAACTGCCATGAAGTTCTTAAAGCCAAAAGACCAGTCTGGCCACAAAGCAACTTCCTCATCCAGGTTCCTAGCATGAAACACTTCTGGGCTCTTGATCCATTTGCTCTCCTTCCACTGACCTCCGCTTGCCGAAGGTCCACTTGTTGCTGAAGCCAGTTGCGCGACTGCTTCTGCTAACTTTGCGAGAACAGCCTCTGGCGTCACCGGCCCTTCTGCCGGCAGCGCAGCGGCTGAAGGAGCCGCTCCTGGGCTCTCGCCGCCATGGTCCCCAGCAGCCTGAGGGGGCTGCCCTGTCTCTGGACCAACACCAGCCATTTCTTACGAAAAGGCCCAAGGCTCAAACAACCAACGAACACAAGGAGGTACCTCACGTACAAGTACTGGCCGCCTTTCCACCCGAGAGCACGCTCGAGCACGCGACACGCGAAAGGAAGTCCCCTGGACTATGCTGGCACAAGCCAGGGCTCAGAGTCACCGAGAGCACGTGGCACAAGATGACCCACTACGAGCTTGCACCTTCGCAAGCTCCGCTACCACAACAGAGTAACGCAACTTTTCACACACACTTGAGCCTTCAGTCGCGCACATCAGGTCTTCAGCACACAAGGAAAACGGGGTTCACGGGTTCTTTAAAGGTTTGTTACATTCTCTGCAGCACGTCCTCGGCCTTCTTAGACACATCCGCGTACTGCATCAGCTGGTGCTGCTTCTGGCCACGGCAGGCGCCCTGGACGATCTTGGGTCTCTGCTTCACCTCCTCCTGCTTCGCATAACCGAAAACCCGGGCGCCTTGCTCACTGTGCAACTGTGTGTGCGAGTCGAAGAGGATGCTGTGGTAGCTGTGCTCCAGCTGGTGGTACAGCCGCATTTTCCGGCAGGCTAGGATGTCCGCCGCCGGCATCCCTTTCCTTATGTCGTCGAGCAAAGCACGTGCTGCCAATGACATGGGGAGTGCTGGCAGCATCTGCCCACGCTCTGTCAGACTCTATCAGACCCTATCAACGAGCACAGCAAGGCGCTGGACCACCGGACTATTGATTACTGCATACGGTTAGGGCACAACACAGGCGTCACATGGTCATGCCTTAAGTTCGCCCAGTCGGGGGGCAAGCCAATGATGAAGACCTTCTCTTTGAAGGGCATGCCCTCCTCGTTGCGCAGATCCACAGGCTGCTTCTCTGTGTCCAGAGGAGTCATGCTCAGGGACTGCGGGCTAGCTCCAAAGGTGCCAATGACTTCGGACTCAGTGAGGACCCCTACATCCATGTAGATGGATGTGCCGCAGGACCGGTTCTTCTCAACCACTCCCGCGTCGTCCAAAAAAACCGGCACCTGCTGCATTTCGTTGTGCTGGCAGATAACCTTCCAGCGCTCGCTTGCCTCCATGAACTTGGATTTGAAGCCGGAGTTGGCATGGCACAAATCGCAGACTTCCGCAAATTCCAAGTCTGGCCAGGCCTTGGCGGCTGTGCACACACACTTCAAACACCCGTCGCCGAGTGCACCGCCGACAGAATCTGTCTCGGCCCAAGGCGAGTCGTCGCCCTCACACGCAGCAACGTTTCTGGCAAAGCCTAGAGGGCCTAGAGCTTACACTATCAAAACATTCCTACGCTAGAAAGACTCGTTAGAATCAGAGAAATCTTCGGCAACTGGCTGACCCCTGACTCAGGCAGCCTGGGCACGGGCCTGCAGCCACAACACAGGCAAACCTTTGCCCTTAGACTGCTCGCTGCTGTCGTCCCACGGTTGTCCGGCAGCACAACGGCCCTGCTGTTCTGCTGCCTGCGCTTCGTCGTTGGCGCAGCCACGATCTCCTAAACCGACAAGCTTTTACGAAATAGAGAGGGGAGGGGAGG